AGCTTGGTAGAGAAAGTCAAGGCCTTTTGGCAAATAAAGTTTATTTGATGTACTTTACAGTTTTGCTAACTTTTTGAATACTCCAAAGACGACCATATAAAGTAAAAGCTTTTGATCCACTCTCCGTCACGTATTCTCCTACTCTTTATTATCAAAAACAAAGCAAGTTTAATTTCTATGCCTATTTTAACACAAAAATAGAACTCACATGAGTGAAAATCTCACTTATCCTTTTTTCTACCAAAACTAAAATCTAATATAACCATAAACGAAGCACATAGAAAGAACCAAAAATAACACAAAATTTTTATAAAAAACAAACACCACCGATAAAGCAAAAAAGATTCATTAAGAACTAAGGGTGGATGCTCTTCTCGAATGTAGGACAACTTTCAATGAAGGACACTTATTTTCACAAGATAACACGACAAAGTTGCGCAATTGAAGAAAATTTACCACGTGCTAATGGTATTTCAGCAAAAAATAGCATCTTGTAGAAGGGATGCAATTTGAACAGTGAGAGGCGGCAAACGGCGTTTAGTTTCGTGGTACAATTCAATTTCTGACTCGCCAAAATTTGATACATTCCGTAACGTTGCTGGTCGCTCACTTGGCAATACTGCATCAGAATGATGAAAACCACTTGCAGCCAACTGACTTGTGGATAGATATAGCGTTTGTCGAGGTTCATCCGAAGATGTAGAATCTGATGAATTAGTTGTTGTCAATGTTGATCGTCGCTGTATATTGACCGAAGAATTTGACGCGATGCGACTTCTCGATCGATGTTCAGTATGTGTTAACGAGAGTGGTGTTCCCGGTCTGAAAAGTGGAAAAACTGTTATTTCCGAATGACTGTGATTGCACGTGAAAATTTTAATAGAGAAGACTATGATCAAACAGAGGTACATAATAAAATTATCACTTACGTGGTACGGGCGGGTATCAGTTTGTGATGGCAGCATTTGTGGACAAGTGTCTCAACAATCGATTGCGACATGATTGATCTACTATCTACTTACCCACGTGAACAAATGTTCACTTAATTTGAGTATACATGAGCAACGAGAGGAATTCCAGCAATCTCCCGTTACACATTGCGCTGTTGATGATCGTGGGCCCATCCTACGAGAAAATGTGCGCAAACTGATTGGTAAATCAGCACAAACACCTGTAGCAGTCGAATTCAGACTTATCAATAATTGATTAATTAGCAGCCAGCGACAAAATATATCATCAAAAGGAGGGAGGCCGATAAGGTCATTTTGCA